CCAATTCAAACCTATGAAATAAACTGCGTAATGTTTGGTGGCAAGTCTGCTCCGTTCTTGGCAATTAATGCAACTTTTTATCTCGCTGAGTGTGAAAAAGATAACTTTCCAAAGGCCGCAGAATGTATAAAAACATGTTTGTACGTCGATGATTGCATGAGCGGCAGCCATTCAGTCAAATCAGCAGTTGAACTGCAACGCGAGTTGAATGGTTTGTTTAAATCCGGCAACATGCGTCTTCGAAAATGGGCATCGAATAGCGAAGCGGCATTGGACGGCATTCCAAGTGAAGATCGAGCAATTAGCCAATCGTTAACCTTGAAAACCACCGACACAGTGAAAACTCTGGGCATGAAATGGACGCCTGCAACCGATTCATTGAGCTTCACAATCGACATGACTCGTTTATCATCTGAACCGCGAATTACCAAACGAAAGCTAGTTTCAGATGCGTCCAAACTTTATGATCCGTGCGGTTTGTTAGCTCCAATCACAATTAAAGCCAAAATGCTCATGCAAGCGACTTTCAAAGAAGGAATCGGTTGGGATGATTTTGTGTGCGATGCCATTCAAAATGAATGGAATGAATACAGAGTGGAACTGCCATTGATTAAACAATTGAAAATTAAGCGATGGCTCAGCATGACACCAAATTCAACAAAACAATTGCACGGATTCTGCGACGCTTCCGATAATGGACTTTCGGCTTGCGTTTATATAGTGCAAACATCGAATGAAATCACCACAGCATCACTCATATGCGCTAAAACTCGTGTTGCACCCATTGATCCAGTCGCAACACCTCGTTTAGAATTGTGTGGAGCTGTTCTATTGTCACATTTGGCCGCTCGCATTGAACATAATCTGAAGATTGACAAAAATAACGTGCATTTATGGACCGATTCGTCAGCTGTCTGGCATTGGTTGCAACATCATCCGTCACGCTTTCAGGTGTACATCGCTCATGGCGTGCTTGAAATTCAGAAGCTGTATCCAGCGAACCACTGGAAGCATGTTCGAACTCATGAAAACCCAGCAGATATCGCATCTCGGGGTGTTTCTGCACGTCACTTGCTCAACAATTCTCTTTGGTTTTCTGGACCAAAGTGGCTCTGCCTTGACAAAACTCAGTGGCCAAAAATCGATTTGCCATTGCCACAAGGCTTAAATTTAGAAAAAAAGCGCACGCGAATAAACATTGCTGTTCCACAATCAGCGCCATGCGAAATGGACTTCTTATTGCGATTTTCGAGTTTGCTTCGATTGCTTCGGGTTACGGCTCGCATATTTCGATTGGCTAAACACAGAAAGGGAGAGGCTGCCTCTTTGCCCGATTATGTAACGCCTGAGGAATTGGAGGAAGCAAAAATTGAATGGGTAAAATACATTCAAGCCCTATATTTTGCCAAAGAAATTCGCGATTTAAGAAAGAACGGATTCGTCGACGAAAAAAGTGCACTACGCTCGCTCAACCCGCAATTCAACGAAAACAAAATTCTCGTCGTCAATGGTCGATTACGGTATGCTCCGCTACCAGAACGACAAAGATGTCCGATGATTTTGCCAGCAAATAGCCATTTCACACAACTAGCAATAAATCGCGCCCATGCAACGTCGTTACACGGCACCATTCACCTGACTTTGGCTCGTGTTCGCCAAGAATTTTGGATCCTGAACGGTCGCAATCGTGTGAAAGCATTCGTCCACAAATGCGTTGTCTGCTTTCGACAAAAACCCAAGTCAATGACTCAATTGATGGCGCCATTACCTGCCATAAAAACAACTCCGTCTCGCGCATTTTTGCATTGTGGTCTGGATTTTGCGGGACCAATTCAAATAAAGAGCTCGAATAAACGAAATGCACCGACTGAGAAAGGTTATATTTGCGTGTTCGTGTGTATGGCCTCGAAAGCAGTCCATTTGGAACTCGTCGGTGACTTGAGTACCCAGAAGTTCATTTTGGCAATTCGTCGAATGATGGCGCGACGAGGAATGAGCACTGATTTTTATTGCGATCGAGGGACAAATTTTCAAGGTGCAAGCAACGAATTGCCTCGTCTTTTCTTGGATGCCAAAGCAACAACATCAACTGAAATCGCCCAATTATTCGCTTCCGATGGCATTCGATTCCATTTCAATCCCCCAAGCGCACCGAACTGGGGCGGACAATGGGAATCGTTCGTCAAGCTGACGAAACATCATTTGCGCCGAATGACCACCGCAGTTAAACTAACGTTCGAGGAAATGGCAACGCTTCTTGCTCAAATTGAATCATGCCTAAACTCGCGGCCTTTGTGTGCAATCACAACGGATATAAATGATTTGGAGCCACTCACGCCCGGTCATTTGTTGATTGGCGCTCCGCTTAATTTGATTCCAGAACCGAATTCACTATCACTAAAAGACAATACGCTCGACCGGTTCCAAGCCATACAAAAGGGCCTACAAACATTCTGGAAGCGCTTTTCAGAAGAATATTTGCACGCGCAACACCCCAGAAAGAAATGGCTCAAGCCAAATGAAGATGTCAACTGCGGCGACCTAGTAATCATCATCGAGGACAATCTACCGCCGGCAAAATGGATGATGGCCAGGATCATCGAACTTCACACTGGGACAGACGGCTACGTAAGGATGGCAACGGTAAAAACTCAAACTTCAACTTTTCAGCGCCCAATCGTCAAGCTTTGCAAACTTCCAATCAACGAAAAGATTAATTAAATTTATTGATAACATTGTAATTTAGATATTTGGCACCAATAAAGGAGATCTGTTTTCTCCACACTGTGCAGGGCCCCTTCAGTTTTAAGATTTAGTAGTTTTTTAGCTTTTTACTTAAGAATTTGCCTCCCCGGGAATATGTTCCGAATGGAACAAACAATGTTAAAATAACTCATTTTCTTTCTGCATTTGAATTTACCGCGCATTCGCT